AGTGAAGATGATACTAAAAAATCACCAGTATCATGAAATCATCCTTTAGATATACAAATACAAGCCTCCATACAGTTTCAATTTATTGTAATTATAACACTTATCTTTATTTTGTTCAGATGAGATGTAATAATTTTGCCTGGTCTTGTGGTGAAACTTACATAGATTTTTGACTGCTTTGAGTTATGTAATGGCCCGGTGTAGTAATTTATCTTCACAGCATATATTTTTTTTTTATATTTCGCTTTTTGTTCCTCAAAATCTCTAAATAGAATCACATTTTTCCATAAGCTTATATGGTATTGTCATCGACAAACATAAAAACCATGCAACATAATTTGTTCAAGAGAATTTAAATTTCTAATTTTTTCCCCATAAAAAAAAAAAACTCTTAAAAGCTAAAATAAATAAATAAAAAGATAAATGGATTTTCAATAACTTAAAATAAAAAAAAAAAATTAAAAGAAGATAAAGAAATAAATAAAAAACTTAAAAAACACTCCCACGGGCTGCAAGGGTTTACAACACTTCAACTAAACGTCCCTCCGTTGAATTGTTTTCAGGTTTCGCTCAAAATCAGAACCAGTTAATTTTCAAGCAGCTGTTTGATTCCTATTTCTTCGCTAGTAGGCCAATAAGGTATGCTTTAATCTTCTTCCTTCCGGTTTCCAGTAGATTCTCACTTTTTTTTTTTTTTTTTTTTTTAATTTGTTAAAATATTTGTTAATTGATAATTAAATTGCTTGATTCATTGAAATTCGTGCAATGTAATTTGCCAATCTTCGTAAATGTATGATGCACTTCAGCTATCTTATGGGCAATCGGAATTCACTTGTTGATTTGTTAGCTGAATGTGGATCAGTGATCCATTTTTTTATTTTCGTCAATTTTCAATATTGCAATATTAATCCTTGAAATGTATTTAGTTATAAGTTCGGAACCTCACCAATGATTTCAACTTTTCTTCTATATTTGTTGCTTAATTAGGTGAGTTGAAGGTGCATTACATGCCTTTGTTTTTTTTAACTTTACTACTTCACTCAAAGGTAAGAGATGCTTTGATTGGAATTTTCGAATGCTTCTTTATCCAATTTTTGATATAGAAGAAAATGAAGTGGTAAAAATGGCATCCCCAT